GATTTGACGTCGACAACACGTACGTCACAGTTTTGGAGTTGGTTGGATGAGATCTGATCACTTTGGATTCCCGGTTGGTCCCAAGGGCAATTTCGTCATTAGATGCGAAATCTTGGATTTTTGGAGTTTTGTACTAAGTTGAGCTATGTACTTTGCTTAGGTACTATTGGAGATTGAGTTGCTCGTTGAGGTTTGAGATTGAGGATTCGTTAAGTTGTTGAAGACGCAGCTTGGACGAGATGTGAGTAAAACCATCCTAATCGTGAGTAAAATCACAAATTATTATATTTATTATAATGTGACCCCGGATAATCTTAATGGCTATAATTAATATGTTGTTTGTGATTTTGTAAAATGTTTAATTGATTTAAAGCACATGAACTTGTTCACCAACGGTTCATGAGGTAAGTGAAACCTATTTTGGTTTGAATTGATTATTTTTTATTGGAGATTTTGGTGTTGAACCATATAACATATGTTGTGGATGTATGGTGTTGAACCATATAACATATGTTGAACCATATAACATATGTTTCGGTGTTGGTGTTTTGGTGTTGATGGATTTAGGTGAGAATACCTTGAATCCCTTCTGAGTTTGTCAGGTGGGCATTCTCGTGGCAAATAATGAGGGATAAATTACCCTAGGGAGCAAGACCCAAGAACAGTTAGAGCTCTAGTCTGGCGCCATCTAGTACTCATGACTGGAGTGTAATCATGAGTGAACACTACTTTGGAGTTTTGTAGTGTTATAGATTAGAGGTTCAAAAAGAATTGTGATTGTGATGATATTGATGATTATGATTACCTTGGTTATACAAGGATTGTGGTGTGCTAATGAAAGTGCATGTGTTTGTATATTATGTGAAATTGACATATTATACTGTGGACGTGGTTTACTCATACGAGCTTTAGAAAGCTTACCGGGTTGTTCTGTGGTGAACCCGGTGCACTATTCAATGGTGTAGGGGAAAATCCTGCAGGTGGTAGAGACGGTGAGCAGGAGAATTAAGGTGAGGAGCAGGAGGCTCATTGGTGGTTCCACAGACTGTAAAGTGTGGTGTGAGAGTGTTGGTGAGTGTTAGACTTCCGCTGTGTGAAATAAGCTCTGAGGAGCATATTATGTAAAATGATGATTGTTCATTTATGTTGTGAGTTTGTAATGTAATATTTGACTCAGAAGAGTTGAGTCATTATTGACATTGTGGTTCGGAACAGTGGTGTTGTATCAAGAAAGAAAAGTTTAAATTTCTAGGTACTTTTGTTGAAGGTTCCGAGCTTCGCGTCCCGGATCGTTGGTTGTTCTGTTTAATTTTGCAGATTAATTGTTGTTGAAAATTCGGGGCGTGACAGAAATATTCCATTTTGAGTAATCTTTTCAACTTGCGCTCGCCTCCCAAGATACAACGACTTCTGTCCTTATGAAAGAAGCACTACAATTCCCAAGGACTCCTGTCCATAATTAGTAAGTATACTAAGACTATATGTATTCAAATGGATATGCATTGACTAAATCAATTCAATTTTTTGGTTGTAGGAAGACTACTCTATTTATAGATACTAAAGAACCCTTTCCAAAAGGTTATGTCCTAACATAAAAACCAACTAATGTATTCATAGAATAAACAGGTGCTTTGATACCTCTTCTAAAAATTGACAAAGAACACCATGGTCCAATGAAATCTATTAATTTCCATTCAAATAGCAAAATTAATATTAATTAATATTAAATTTCCAAGAAAAATCAACCCAAAAATGGGCGTTATGATGCTCTTTGCATGTTGATCCAAAACAGAGAGATGGTTGTTGTTTATGGAATAGAGATATGGAAGGAGGAAGAAAAAGAAAGGAAGAGTGCGACAACCAGTTGGTTGGGTGGGCGGTGGCTCTTCTGTCTTTTCGATGTTCTTATTTTCTCAATTCTTAAAGATAAAAATATATTTAAAGTCCAGATGTAAAAAAAAACATTTAATTATTTTTTAAAATGGATACGTGGCATATTTTGAGTGGAAGTATCACCAGCTGACGTGGTGATATGGTAGCATTGTATAATTTCTCCAGAGTTAGGACTAGAAAGAGATGAGATATAGTGATAAGAGAGAGATGGGCTATAGCGATAGCAGAGAAGGAGGGTTTGGGTTCATCAACTCTTGGCCTCCTCAAATAGCCTCCTCACTCTAAACTCCTCATTATAGCCTCTCCCTCCAACTTTTCTTAAAATCTCTTCCCTTCCCATTACTACGGGAGAGTTCTATAAGGCCCGTGGCTTAAACCTTAATCTCTTAACTGTGATGAACAAGACAGCACAAGCCCATCACAATTATATTTATAGATTATTATAAATAAACCCAATCCTAGACATATATTTATAAAAAAAACCCAAACACTATTTAAACATAGAAACACACCCAAAATCAACCCCAAAATCAACAATTGTATATTTCTTGAGTGTGTTTATAAATGGATTTTGAGTGTGTGCAATGATGGGTTTTGGGTGTGTTTATAAAGTGTTTTGGGTGTTGGGTTTTTCTATAATTTCAACCCCCATTTTGGGTGTTTTAGTGAAACCCCCTTATATTTATAACCTTTTGGATTGTTTTCTATGTCCTTTTGTTCCTTTTATTCTCTATTTAACATATAATGAAGAAGGCCAATGGGGTCTAGCCAAGTTGAAAAGGGCCTTGACTTGTAGCCGACAGGTCTTAGGTTTGAATCCCCACGACATCATAGTTGTGTGTGTGAGAGAGAGAAATCCCCCTCCCCTATAGTTTAGACTATGGCTTGTACTAAACAAACATATAATTAAAAAAAAAACTAACTATTTAGTTTATACTCTCGCTATATTCTCATATTTATATAAACATGGAAAAACCCACATACCCAACATGATTGAAACCCTAAAGCAACCCATGAGCCTAAACTAACCCTACCACCACCACTTGAAGAAGCGTCATCACGGCTACACCGATTACCGCATTTGTAACAGATCTGGGGAAAACATGGTTTCCAGCATTCTATATGCGCATAAGAGCAAACAAATAAACGAAAATAACTACCTTGACAAAGAACAATTGGATGATTTGCAGCAACCTTTGTCAAAAACGATATATACATGAACTTTATTTATTATTTGATCAAATAATATCAAATAATGACAAAAAAAAAAAATCAAATAAATTGTAAGATTACAAAGTCGAGCTTAAACATCTAGTAGTTGCTAGAAATTAGGAAGGGGGAGAGAGACGTCCTAGAACTTCACTCTAACTCTTCACTATATAAAGACCACAATTTGGAAACAATGTGGCTTTTCGTACAATTGCTAGACGGTGCAATTGTTGAATCACAACAACAAATCCGACACGTCTGATTAAAAGGAAAAGGTGCTTTTTCCTTTTCAAACCACTTTTTCATTCACAAGTTGTTTGTGAGGTAAAATACCTCTAGGCCGAGTTGGGCCAGAGCACGGTGTTAGTGGTTGAGCTAGGCCAGACCACAGTGTCAGTGGTCGAGCTGGGCCAGAGCACGGTGGTAGTGGTCGAGCTGGGCCAAACCTTGAAATCCTTCGAAAGCACATCTGGCCATTCCTGTACCACTGGAACATCCTCCAACCTCAATCCATTATCCCGGGTATCGATAATGTGCACCAAGTATCCTGAACATCCTTTCTTGAGCAACCGCCTTGCCTTCATAGCTGAAATGAGGCAAGATGTAAAGACTCAGTGCTCACCAAAACGTCCCCTCAGGTCGTCCGGGACTACGGAACATGATCTCTTTCCGAAAACAACCTACGAAGGCACAGTGCTTGGCTAACCAATCTATCCCCAAAATGACATCTAAATCCACCATTTCCAAGGAAATTAGATCTGCCTCCAGAAATACGTCTCTCAGCACCTCTAGCTGCACCACCTCCAGAGCGGTTCCAAGAACTACCACTCTAGTTTGATACTCCATTAGAACAAACTCCAGGTCGAAAACCTTCATAACTGCGGCCGCTAGATGATCCAGAACTAAAACTACCCCTCTTGGATGACCCCTAACTGGGACCACCCATCTCAACTATCGCCTACGGGAATCACCCTGTGCTCGGACCATCATCTGGCTGCTTCCTATCAGTGAGGCAGACAAGACCAAATCTCCAAAATTGGTCAGTCACTGGTTAATGTTAATGTCTCGAATGGAAGCCTTTAACCTTCTTGTAACCAGTTGACACTTCTTCCTTTCATTCTCCACCAATGGAGTACAATACTTAGATAACTTGTTGAACTTTTGTTTGTACTCCATTACCGTCATCCCACTCTGTTTTAGCTGCAGAAACTTTTCCATCTTCATACTCTGATATGCGAGTGGATAGAACTACACAACAAACTCTGCTCTGAAATCCAACCATTTAATGGTTGTTGGGTTCAGATATCTCCTCTTGATTGATTCTCACAAATATCTAACATTTCTGGCCAAAAAGAAAGTGGTCAGGGTCACCCTGTGATCCTGTGGAACGACCAACACCTTCATAATCCACTCTATCCACTCTATCCACTCCTCAGCTACTGATGGGTCACCATCACCCTCAAAATCAATGACCCCTAAACTTTTAACCTGATTTACGTAGCTCGGAGAAGAATCTCCGGATGGCCCAGTTCTGGATAGGGCCTGAGTCAACGACTCCAACAAATGACTGCTCTACCGGTTCGAGTACCGGTGCAAAAATAGAAAATTCCTCTAGCTCGGGCAAGGGATTCTGTTCCTGGAGTCGGGACGACTGTCTAGTCCCTGTCCTAGTGCCACCACGCTTAGGGCCCATAATTCTATCAAAAGAACTGACATTCCTTAAAACTAAGATGCACCTATAGTGCGGAGTCTACAGGAAGTTAACCTAATGCTCTGATACCAAGTTGACAGGACCCGACCCAAATTCCACTTTGGAATCCGAGCTGGACCCTGTTTGTGTCCGACACCTGGCAAGTGCCGAGCACCAAAGACCTAATTGCCCTTCTAGTCAACTTTCAACTAAAACTGGGGTTTGACTTTTGCTGAAAAATTCAGCAAGGTCTCCCCTGCAATTACACCAATCCCAAGATTACACCTGTCAAACATGCATAAAAATATACACCAACTGTCAGCATGCAAATAATTACATTCCAACAGTCAGACATGCAATCTAGGGCAATATCAGAGCTCTATATAGAAGATTATAAGTATAAAATAATTATACAAGACCCTACGCTGTCCAGGGATATGACGGAAGGTGGACTCGGCCCGGTGGTGGCGCACTGATGCACGACTACTGCCTGGGGGCGCAAAACATTAAAAAGGGTGAGTGGACCAAAACAAAGCGTTAGAAAATAGTATTAGAACATACTAACCCCTCTGTAAAAACAGTTATGAAACTAAAACATTTCTTTTATATATAGCTCGTACTGAAATCCATGCCTACCTATTTATATCTATAAGCCAATCATACACGAAATCAAACATTAAGTCTGATATAAATATAGTCAATTCCATATAATCCGTCAATTCCATCCTTGTGCCACCGGAGTGACACGTCCTAGCAGACCTCGGGAAACACAAGGTCACCCAAGCCGCAATCCTAGCAGATTCAGGGGACACTTGGTCAGCCTGATCCCCAACCCTAGCAAAATTCAGGGGACACTTGGTCGGCCTGATCCGTAATCCTAGCACTACACGGTTCGAGCGTCCCCGAGACTCGTGGGGCTGTGTCAAGCATGCTGACCTACCCGAAGACAACTGGATGTCCGTCGACATCAATAATACCGAAGGCAACTGGATGTCCGTAGACATCGTTATAACCGAAGGCAACCATTTAAATCCGAAGGCAACATATTATCGAAGGCAACCTTTATTAATCTTGGGTACCTATGGTGGCTTAAAAATAAATGTATATACACATATATATATATAATTCTGAAAAAGATTAAAGTTTATAAAACTACTTATAAACTATTCCTTAAATCCTGCTGCCATTTAATCTGATAATACCTCAGTTCTAACTTTCCAAATCCCTTTTTAAATGTTCCACTAGGCAGCACATAAATAAACAGAAATATTTATATCTATCAAGTCATGCTAGGAAAGCTGTATTCAGTAAAACTTATTCAAGATCAAATAATGAAATTAAAATGCATAAAACGTTTATAAAACAAACAGTCCACTCACAGATACTCTGAGCTAGCTGGACCCTTTGAAGGTCCCTCCTGCGGGTCACCTGGTGCCCGGGTGCCTGTATAACCATCATAATACTTTATTAAAAA